ACAAAACATATGGGGGTAATATGGAGGAAGAGAGAGAGAGTAATATTTATGATGATGGCATAGAAGGAAATTCATGATTATACCGGCAAAATAAACATCAATTGTCTGTCGCACCTATTATATTATGCATGATATAGATATGCGTGTATGTTGTGTGTTTGTTTTTAGTTCATTGTTCCTTTTTTGTTGTTGATGAGGGTTATGGCTGGCAGTGGTGTTGAGAAGCCGTCAAAACATAAAACGTCATACTTTTCTTTACTTTTTATGTGTGTCGACTGAACGAACAAATGAGTTGGTGGTGATACGATTTTTTTTGTTTGCTTGTTTTTGTTGTCTTGGGAAATTCTTTTCCTTTTTCTCCTTTAACAAAGCAAAGTGTACATAAAAAGAAATACGTACATAAAAATGATGTCAAAAAACCACTCAAAAAGCACAGCACAACAACAATAGCAACGACCTACACAGACAGATATAATAACATAAAAAGAGGCAACGACAGACTACTTTGCTGCTGCTACTACTATTGCCACCAAACATCATCATCGTCAGCATTTGTCGAATATTCATACCCAAACATATGAAGGCGACAGCGTCGGCGGCGGCGACATTGCAAAAGCCAGGCGGCATATTATTATTATTGTTGTTAATGTGATTTTACTGTGAGGAGTAGACGAGTAGTGTAAAATTATGTTTATTTTTGTTGTTGTTGATTTTTCCTTTTATTTTTTCGTTTTTTGTTTACTTTGATTGTTACTGCTATTGTTGTTATCACCACATCACTGGGTTACCAATGGAAATGACATTGACATTGAATCAAATAATACTACTAAAATAGTATAACAACAGCGAAAAGAAAAACTTTTGTATTTTATTTATAATTTTTGTATAGTGTATGTATGTGTGTATATATGTTTGTGAAATATGCTGTAGGCAGCAGAGTTAGGTTAGGATAGGTAGGGTATTATGCATATAAAATTTAATATCAACAGCAAAAAACAACAAGTGGGGTAAAAACACATAATAAAATAATTACATATTCTTTATATACCCCAACATACATACTCGTGTAAATACATAGATTCATGGTGTTGTTGTTGTTGGTTGTATTGCAACAATAAAATAATATCAATTCACATTTAGTACTACGGCACACATAGTGGGGAATATTTGATTTGTTGTGATTGTTATTGTTTTGGGGGGTTGGTGGATTGCGCTCTTCAATAATACCGGTAGTTACAGTTTTCTTTTTTTTTTTTTGCTTATTAGAATTTGTTCATGTGAGAGAGAGGGTGGATGGATGACAGCTAACCACCAAATCATTCAGTTAGCGTGGTTTTATATTTGTCGGGATCGGGATCGGTGTTGAGAGTTTCTCTCTCTTGAGAGAGTAATTAGAGTTGCGCTATTTTTAATTTTTTAACAAGCGTACTTTTTGTTCACAAAAGGTACGAATTGACATAAACGTACCAAAACAAAAATTATATTTTTTATTATTCGTGGATACATTTACGCTTAAATTATAACATATATTATTTATGCAAACAACTGGTATAAATATTGGCCAATATTTCTCGATAATTATGATTTATTATCATTTGAAGTAGAATTTTAGGTACCTTTTCGTACTTTTTTTGTTCCTACCTGTGGTAATGTTTTCCAACACAATTCACAATTTACCACTGAGAGAGAGACTCTCAACACCGATCCCGATCCCGGCAAATATAAAACCACGCTTATTGTAACGTAACTAGCCCCTTCATGACATTATGCACATTTACCGTTCAAATAATCTATGACAATAACACGTGTTTTTATCTGACCCCACCCCACCACGCTCTCACTCTTTCTCATCATAACATTGATCTCCTGTGCTGCTACTTCTTCTCATTGAGTGAGTGAGTACATGCCATTTGTTGTTATTCTTCTTCTATCACAGGTGTAATTACTGTTCATAGGCGGCAAAAATGGCGCCAAATTTAAACAATAGGCTGTGAATTATCAAGGGAAGAGTTTGCACAACATTATTTTATAATTAAAATAATTTTTTAAATAAAATGAAAATTCAAAGCATAATTTCGCGCCAATTTTACATACATAAAACAAATGAAGGCGCTGATCACAAGTAGAAGTGTGTGAGAGAAATTGCTAAAAGAGACTAATGACAATCCATCGTTTTAACAAATCCATCATCATAGAAAAATTATTTCAAAAAAATTCCAGGCTACGCCTCAAAAATGGCTCTGGAAAATTATTTAAAAAATTTCAAATCCTGGAAAATATATTTAACAAATTCACAAACCTGGAGCAATTATTTTAAAAAATCCACACACTTGGCAATATTAATAAAAAAAAATCGACGCACCTGAAAAAAAAAACTATTTCAAAAAATTCACGCATCTGGAAAAAATATTTAAAAAATTCCATGAATTATTCAGGGACCGAAAATAACAGTTATTTTTTAAAATGCGAACAAAAAAATCTTCATGTTAGAGACATGGGATACCAACAGTGTCATATACCAATAGATTCGTATTGAGGAGCCCATTAAGGATATTGAGTCAATCAATTATTTTAAAAATAACCAAGCCCTCAAAAAATTATGTTAAGGATTATTTTTTAACGGAAAAAATAAAAAATTGCCTTTATATGTTAAAATTGATTTAAAAAATTTTTTCCGGCCAAAAATAAAATTTTTTAAATTTTCAAAAAAATTTTTTTAAAACAAGCCTCTTCTATGACCCTCAAAAATTATTTAAAAAAATCACGGCTCTCAAAAATTTATTTTAAAAAATTCATGTTTTTATATGACCCTCAAATAAATTAAAAAATGCACACGCCTCTTATACGGTCATAAAAAAAATTGTTTGAAGTCTCCAAGCCTCTTATATGGATCTCAAAAAAATTATTGAAAAAATCTGCCCACCTCTTTTATGGCCTTCAAAAAATTATTTTAAAAAATATGAAACTGAAAAAATATTTAAAATCTCAAATTAAAAAAAATCCCTGCCTCTATAAATGGCTAGGAATTTTTTTTAAATCATCTACGCCTCTTATATGAACCCCAAGAAAATATTCGAAAAATACACGCCAAAAAATCCACCTCAAAAAAATTATTAAAAAATTCCTAATTTTTGTACCCTTATATCAGAGGCATTCTTTAACCGGCATGCATGCACGTGTTGGAATTATTTTCGAACAATTTAATAAAACTCATTTTTATTACATATTATCAAACTTTCACCCTGCTGCTAGTCAGTCACACAAAACACACACACCCACCCACCTGTTATAAATATCTTACAATGCGGACACACACACTCACACAAACATAATAATCCCAATGCATAACTTTGCTCAAATGCCTCTATCGCGTGCTATATATGTAAATATTTACATATGTACATTTTTATAGAAATTCTATGGAATTTGATCAACAACTTGTTGTTGTTATTATTGTTGTCTACATATGACAAAAAAAATATATATTTCACCATACAACAATGAACACCCTACCCATGTGCCAAATGGCTGGTTGGTTGGGGGTGTGGGGCGAATTTTATATGTTATCGCAATTATAGAATTACTCACATTGTGGTGTCACAGCCAAGCATTTGAATATCCGCATTGAATTTATGTGTGTGTGTGCACACTCTCGTATATGTACTTTGACGTTTAACGTTAACTTGTTTTTTTTTCTTCTTCTCTAACTCTAACACTCATCATCATGTGAGAGTAATTTTGGCGCCAAAATATATTTCTGTTACCTTAATGGCATTTTGCTGCTAATTGAGTTTTTAGGTGCAAAACATTGCGAATGTTTTGACATGTTTGCGAATTGTGATAAATGTCAATAGGGGGAGAGGAAATTGATGGTAATTCGTATAAGGTTTATTAATTTATGCTTCTTTTTTATTTCCGTAATTACACCATATGATGCGCGCGTGCTCTTTTTTTTCGGTTTATTCGTTACTGCGCGTGCTCTTTGTGATGTGATGAGAGAATAGGGATTTATAGATCAATTTACAGCCCTGTTATAGAGTGTAGGGTTCTATGTGATTGATTTAAAGAAAAAACTAATTGTACTGTAAAATAAATGTAATTATGCACATTAAAGGCGTTTGGGATGTCCCAAAACGTATTTGGCCTTTTATTTAACATATTTCCACTTATTTTTTGTTAAATTAATTTAAATGACAGGTCATTGACTTGTCACAATATCTATGAATGAACGAACGAACGGCTGTTTTGCATACATGTTTGCCTACATTTTTAAATTCCTCTGTGTTTACGGCGATAAACGTTCTTATTTTTTTTTGCACTTTGCCTAATTCAACAACAACAACAACAGAAAATCCCTCAAAGCAAAATACGACGATAAATAAAGAATTTATTTTATTATTATTTTTTTGAATTAAATGTAAATTAGCAAGCAGAGACACGTTCATTCTCCATTTCAAATGTATCAAAAAAACTACAAGACATTTTTAGAAAAAAAAAAAAAACATCCAAATACCAAGAACTTGTTTTTGCCGCCACTAAAACGAATTATGATAATGGTTTTGAGTAAAAAAATACCAGGCATTTTATTTTAATCTCATTTTTGTTGTTGTTTTCTCGTTGTCGTAAGTAATTTATAACTTTCACTTCATTTGGTAGTATAAAAACAGGCAACAAACTAAAAAAAGTACCGGCAAAGAGAGAGACGGACAACAAATGACTTGACTAGGGAATGTTCAGATGATGATGAAAATTGACCTAATTTCACCGAGTTTTCTGTGTTTTCTCTATTTTTTTTTTTTTTTTTTTTTTTGTTGTCGGAATTTGTAATATTACAACAGAGTTGCATGAAAATAAGATTGAAATAATAATGGATTGTTAAAGAATTATTTGCAAATTTAAATAGGAAACTTCTCTTGCTATTTTACAAAAAAAAAAAAAAAAAAAAAAAAAAAAAAAAAAAAAAAAAATGGAACCTGTTTTCGGTTTTTTGTGAACCGGTTTTCGGGTTTTTGTGAACTGGTTCACGGTTACATATATAGTTTAATGTTATTACTATGGTTAAAAAAAACGTGGTTTTTGGATTTTTATGATCCGGTATTTTGAATTCCCTGAACCGGTTATTTAAAAGAAACCAATTCAGTTAATAATTACTGAAAAGTTTTACCTTTAAAAAATCGTTAAACAAGTTTCTTGTCAACCGGTTAAATAGACAAAATTTCTTGCTATTTTACAAAAAAAAAGATTTTCGGTTTTTTGTGAACCGGTTTTCGGTTTTTGTGAACCGGTTTACGGTTACATATATGTTTTAATGTTATTACTATTGTTTAAAAAAAATCAACCGTGGTTTTTGGATTTTTTACGAACCGGTTTTTTGAAATTAGCGAACCGGTTATTTACAAAAAAAAAACAATTCAGTCAATAATCATTTCTAAAAAGTTTTAACTTAAAAAAAAAACGCTTAAAATGTTTCTTGTCAACATTTTTTGATATTTTATATAAAAAATTGAACCGGTTTTCGGGTTTTTATGAACCGTTTCACGGTTACATATAGGGTTTAATGTTATTACTATTGTTAAAAAAAATCCATTGGATTTTTTATGAACCGGTTTTTTGAATTTCGTAAACCTGTTTTTTTAAAGAAACAATTCCGTCAATATTCATTACTAAAAAGAGTTTTACCTTTAAAAAACCCGCTAGAAATCACTTCATATAGAAATGAAGACGTGATTTTGTATTTTTGAGAACCGGTTTCTATGTTCATTAATCGGTTTTCCGGTTTCAATGTCTATTAATATTATTCTTTACTTTTGCAATCAATAATCGTTTTTAACGAGTTTTCATGGTTTTAATGCAGGTTATAGTGTTTTTTTTCGAACCGGTTACTTGGTTACTTTTTTAAAGTATGCGTATTAAGATAAATTTTGATTTATTAACTTTTTGCATATTTGTTTCTAAGGCGATTTAGCGTATTTGTTTTAGATTTTGGTGATTTTTCGAACCGGTTACTTGGCTGCTTTTTAAAAGTATATGTATAAAGATAAAATTTGATATATTAACTGCTTGCATATTCGCTTCTAATGCGATTTAGCGTTTTTTTTCTTGAGATTTTGATGATTTTTCGAACCGGTTACTTGGTTACTTTTTAAAAGAATGCGTATTTTTTTTTTTTAATTTTAATCATTAATTTTTTTCTAATGAGCTTTTTGCGCTTTCAATGTCATTTATATGACTTATATCAACCGGTTAACCGATTACTTTTTAAAATCGTGTATACTTTTGATACATTTGACATGGTTTTGTTTTATAGATCACTTTCTAAGTGATAAAATTTATTAATTAGCTTTTGCTACAAATAATCGTTTCTAATACGATATATCGAGTTTTTAAGGATCATTTATATAGTATTATTAACCGGTTACCCGGTTACTTTTTAAAATCTTTGATATTAAGTGACATTTTGTTCTATATATTAAATCTCAAATAAATGTATGCAACATTTCTTAATTTTTTAGAACCGGTTACATAATTTGTGAACCGGTTTTTGGTATTAAAATTCGGGGTTTTCAAATTTTTTTAAATTCTAATGAGTTTTAACGCTTTTACAATACATTTATATAGCTTGTATCAACCGGTTAATCGGTTACTTTTTAAATAAATTCCTGCTGATATAAATTTCGAATAATTAATGATTTATTTATTCGTTTTTAATGCTATTTATGCTAATAAATTTATGGATTTTACGTTTTATTTTCGAAATATTGCTTTTCAGAAAAAAAAGAATTTCCGGTTTTTTAAATAATTTTTCCTCCAAAATTCATTTCAAATCATTTTCGTTTATCTCCTACCATTTTGGCCTTCAATTTATTTACCCTTAATTGGGTATTCTTGAGAAACCTCAATCTTTTTTTTTTTTTTTTTTTTTTGGGAAACTCACTCAACCAGAAATGCCAACATTTTAATTCCAAATTGTTTTTTTTTGTTTCTTGGGTTTCTTGATTCGAAAAAAAGGCAAACAATATATATTAACGTGTTTGATATTTTTCGGCCAGTATTGTAGTTTGGCCAGAACCTACCAAATATTAAATCAGAGAAATGTGGATTTTCTTCAATTCTTCTGATGCGGTGGTGTGGTGTACGTACTGCATGTATAATAATATCCGTTCGTCTGTCCCGATGGTCGTTCGGTCGATGATGGTTTGTCGTCCATCCATTAAAGAAACCAAAATCCAACAACAAAAAACATTTGTCTTGGTTTAATATCCATCCAATCTCGCCCCTTCCCTATCCTCCCTTTGCTGCTATACATTTCCTGCTCTTAATGCCATCCATCCATTCAACCATTCTGGTGGCGTTTTGTGGTTAGTGGTGGTGGTGTTGTTGGGCCCGACAGACAGCGCGCGGTAGATGTTGAAGCAACAACACGAAGAAAAAAAAACCTAACTTGCTTGATGTCTTCCTGCCAGGTTTTGTAGGCTACTCTGCTTGCTGGCTTGCTCGCTTGGTTGGTTGGTTAGTAGTTTGGCTGGCTGGCATGGCTTGAAATACCTGGCTTCGAATATTTCATATTCAAAAAGTTCGTTGACCAAAAACCGAATTATAAATTCTACGTTTTTTATTTCGAAAAAAAAAACAAAATATTTAATAAAATTAAAAATTATGTACAACACTCACACACACTCGCGCAGAGAGACTATCTCTTATAAAATATGAGAATTTAAAATTAAATTTCAAAATTCTTTTTAAATATTTATTTTATTACTTTTATTAAATGTTTTGGAATTTTGTGATTCTTTGTGTGGAATTTTTTTAAAGATTTTTTTTTTTAATTAAAAATTCATATTTATTTTTAATATGCCTATAAATTTTCAATCGAAATTAGTAAACCAAGAATTTTTATTAAGGGGGGAGCCGGTTACATACAACATGAATAAATAGTCTAATTTGAGGGGGGTCAAAATGAATAAATAACCTAATTTGAGGGGCCAAAATTAATTTGAGGATATTTTTTGAGGTTATTGTTAACAAAAAATGTATTTCGATAATCGACATCTTTTCAATTGTTATCGATTTTTTTTTTCGATTACTGCCGAATTTTTTTTTCGATTGTTATCGAAATTTTTTTTCAATTATTATCGAAAAATTATTCTTTTCGATTATTATCGACAAACTTTTTTTCGATTATTATCGAAAATTTATATTTTCGATTGGTAACGAAAATTTATTTTTTCGTTTAGTATCGAATATTTATATTTTTGATTAGTATCGAAAATTTATATCTCGAATAGTATCGAAAATTTATATTTTCGATTAGTATCGAAAATGTATATTTTTGTTTATTATCGAAAAGTTTTTTTTTTTTGATTATTATCGAAAATTTATATTTTGGATTATTATCGCACATATTTTTTTGATTATTATCGAAAATTTATATTTTCGATTATTATGGAAAATTTATTTTTTTTAATTCGATATTAATCGAAAATTTATATTTTCGATTATTATCGAAAATTTATATTTTCGATTATTATCGAAAATTTATATTTTCGATTATTATCGAAAATTTATATTTTCGATTATTATCGAAAATTTATATTTTCAATTATTATTGAAAATTTATATTTTCGATTACTATCGAAAATTTATATTTTCGATTATTATCGAAAATTTATATTTTCGATTATTATCGAAAATTTATATTTTCGATTATTATCGAAAATTTATATTTTCGATTATTATCGAAAATTTATATTTTCGATTATTATCGAAAATTTATATTTTCGATTATTATCGAAAAATATTTTTTTCGATTATTATCGAAAATTATTTTTTCGATTATTATCGAAAATTATTTTTTAGATTATTATCGAAAATTATTTTTTTCGATTATTATCGAAAATTTATATTTATATTTTCGATTATTATCGAAAATTTATATTTATATTTTCGATAATTATCGAAAATTTATATTTATACTTTCGATTATCCAAAATTTATATTCTCGATTATTACCGAAAATATATTTTTTCGATTATTATCGAAAATTTTTATTCTCGATTATTACCGAAAATATATTTTTTCGATTATTATCGAAAATTTATATTCTCGTTTATTATCGATAATTTTTTTAGATTATTATCGAAAATTATTTTTTTAGATTATTATCGAAAATTATTTTTTTTGATTATTATCGAAAAATTATATTTAAACTTTTGATTATTATCGAAAATTTATATTTATACTTTCGATTATTATCGAAAACTTATATGTCCGATTATTAAAATTTCCAAATTTTTCGAGAGTACACAATTTTTACATGTTCTATCCTGCTCTGTTTATGGCCACAACATCTGCTGCATTACATTAGCTACAGGGCCATACCCCAGTAATCATAGTGGCGTTATGGCCGATTCTATTCTTGCAGTAAGTTCGTGTTTAGGTGTGCTTAAACCTACTGCATACTAAAACACGAAGAAGGCAGTTCTTGCATAAAATAGATTTGTAAATCATTATTAAAAAAAAAACATAATGGCCAGTAGAGTAATGGTTGGGGCACAAAACGAGACACAGAAGCGCATAAAACTTCATTTAATAGCCTTCGCATCCGAACCTTCTATTTTTATGTGTAGAAGAAGTGTGTGGTAGAGAATAGCATAGAAGAACAAACTTCGCCATCCGTCGTATAAGTGGCATTTAAAAACAGCTGCGCTTAGTATTGCTATACCTTGATATATTCAGGCAGGTTGGTCGGCAGGTATGTGCATGCCTTCTTCTAGCTTTGGAATTTCGTTTTTTCTTCATTATGGTATAGGTGCTGCTCTTTGGCACCTTAGCTTGCTGCTTACTTTAATAAAATACCCATGGCAATTTAAAAAACTTTACTAGCAAACGAATAAATGACTGGAAATGTCAACCAAACTGCCTCTCCCGTCCCGTCCATTTCTCCAATATATGTGGTTTCTTCTTGTCTATTGTGCTAACATTCCACACATTCGGAATCGCCACACATTTAAAGCAGA